AGGCCATCTCTTCCACAGCTCCCCACCCTGTGCGCTAACTGCTCTGGGCACCAAGAGCCCTTTTTCCTAGAGTATACCCACCACCCCCACGCTCAGGTTCGGGTCAGCATTTTGGCCCTTCCCCAGGCCCTGGGCACTGCCAGTGTCCACACTGGTCAGCACAGCATCGGCGTCTCTGCTGTGTGGGTCGGCCCAGAGGCCTGAGCTACCAAATCTCTGGGTTCCTTGCCTTGCGGGTCGTATCGGGACAGGTGCTTCCCCTTTAGGATCCTTGTCAGCCTCCCGTGGAGCCATCCTCACACACCCTACTAGAAACACCTGCTCCTTTCAGGTCACTCGGCTGGGCCTCCCCTTTACTCGTATACACCAGAGCTGTGCTGTCTAATACCGTAACCACTAGCCACATTCAAATTTAAATTTAAATTATGAAAATTAAATAAAACCCAAACTTTAGTTTCTCAGTCACTCTAGCCACGCCTCAAATGTTCAGTAGCCATATGTGGCCAGAGACTGCCCCACGGGATAGCATGGGTGTGACATGTTTCTCTCACTGCAGACTCCTGTGGGATAATTGTGCAGAGTGGTGGCTCTCAACTGGGGCAGTGTGGCCTCCCAGGGGACATTGGACAATGTTCAGAGACATGTTTGCTTGACTTGGGCAGGGGGTTCTGCTGGCTCCTGGTTATAGTAGGTAGAGGCCAGAGATGGGATTGGAGGGGAGATGTCAGGCCATGGGATTTGTCTCATCCTATGGCCGTGACAGTGCTGCTTCCCAAGATCCTTTGGTAGTCGGCCACAGAGGCCACCTGGGCCAGACGAGGGGCCTGAAAGTCGAAGTGGAGGCATCGCCCCCAAATATGTCTCCGTTTCCCCGCTCTGCCTCTCCAGGAACCCCAGATGGGATCGCTAACGTACCTTCAGCAGAGGAAAGGAAACCAGACTTGCCAACTGGTTTCAGGAAGGAACCTCTGTAAATGCCAGGCCAAATGCAGACAGCTTATATGATAAGAGTCTGGCCAAACCTCAGTCACATCACACAAAGACGGTCAGGTCTTAAATATGAGATATAAAAACTCTTGGCAGGGCTCTCACCAGGGGACCAAGCACAGAGCTGCCTTTCAGGAACTCTCTAGCATGGGGGCGATTGTTTTCATCCCAGCCCTGCTTCTGCCAGGACCCATGAAGGGTGTAAGAGAAAGGAGGGGCCTTGCCTTTAGGAGTTTTCTGCCCCACCAGGGCTCCTTGACATTTGCTAGGGGAAAGGTCAGGGTGGGTAACACAACATGTCCTTTTTTTTTTTAAAGTGTGTGCAACCCTAGGACCTAGCCCTTGGCTCCTAGGACGTTTGGCAAAGTGAATGAAAATGAAAGAACAAAGCCCATGGGGCTGATGAATCAGATCAAGTGACATCCTTCTAAAACCAGAAAAACTGGCCTGGGCCTGCTGGACAGCATGGGGGTCAGGGTCACTGCCAAGGAGAGGTAGCTGCTTCGGTGGGGTCAGGGGATGGTCAAGGGGAAGGTTGGCTCATCACATACTCTTCATTTGAGGTAAGGACATTGACCCCGGGAAGCTCCGAAACAATGGCTATGCACCCTGGGAGGGTTGCCAGAGAAGGGATTGATTTAGACACTGGGGAGGAGCTCAGAGGAATAATTCATGCAGGAACCCAGGGTGGGAGGGTCACCTGGCTCCCTGGTCAGAACTCCCTAGGGGCCAGGGGAGGTGGAGCTCAAACCGTGAGGGGGATGTAGGCAGAGTTGAGAGGGAGGAGGGAGCCCTAGAACAGGACCATTACCAAATTGGGAATGTTTCTGAAGGCTGGCCCTGGGCACAATCCTCATTTGACAACTGGCAGGCAGTTTGGGAGTTAGGGAAAATAGGGGAACTAGATCTGGAAGCTGCTTTCTACATTTCAGAAAAGAGGATGAACTAGAATGTTCTTTTTTTAAAAAAACATTCTTTAAAGTTTATTTATTTATTTTGAGAGAGAGAGGAGGGAAGGGGCAGAGAGAGAGAGGGAGAGAATGAGAGAGAATCCCAAGCAGCCTCCACGCTGTCACAGTACAAAGCCTGATGTGGGACTTGAACCCACAAACCGCGAGATCATGACCTGAGCCGAAACCAAGAGTCGGTCACTTAACTGAATGAGCCACCCAAGCACCCCAGAGAGGACTCATTTTTTTTTTTTTTCCCATCTCTCACACCCACCCTGTGGACCTTAGGGAGGAGCTGTTCTCTTGACCTTGTTCTGTTCAGGATTTTTTCTTAAGATTTTATTTTTTATTTTTTAATTTAAAAAATATTTATTTACTTATTTTGAGAGAGAAAGAGAGAATCCTAAACAGTCTCTGCACCGTCAGTGCAGAGCCCCAGGTGGGGCTTGATCTCATGAACCATGAGTTCATGACCTGAGCTTAAATCAAGAGTCGGGTGCTTAACTGACTGAGTCACCCAGCTGCCCCACTGCCATTGTTCAGAGCCAGACAAGGCTTGTTTAGAGCTGTCCTAGAGGGGGCTCCGGTGCTCAGTGGGAATTTGGTTTAAATGACCTTTCAAAAGGTCACCGAGGTTTTGTGCAAGTTCTGGGGATGCTAGGTTCTAAGGGGGAGTGAGAGAGTGGATGTGTGTGACAGCTCTCCAGCAGAGCTAGGGGCGGTGGGCCTTCTGAAGTCGTGCATTCTGCCTCCCTGAGCCTTCTACTGCCTGGTGCCCGCTTCGCTCTCACATGCTATGCAGAATGCTGTCTCTTGGTAGGCAGGAAGCATGAGGGGGCCTCAGCCAGACAGTAGGGAGGGTTGGCATGGACACGCCCCATCCCAAGAGGTGGCTGTTACGCAATGGCCGCAATACCACCATTATCGAGTAGGAATGTGGGCCGGGCAGTACCAGAGCTTTTAGTTTTCAAGAGAAGCCAGGAAATTAGATTTTCTATGTGAAATCTCCCGTTTTGTATATATTGGCTCAAAGATATGTATAACCTCATGCAGGCCAAATAGCGTGTCTGCAGGCTGGGTCTGGCCTGCATGCCACGCATGGTTCCTCTTCTAGTCACTTGATGGCTCTCTCTTTGTCACCCTGGACCCCTCTGTCTCCTGGATAAATGTCCCCCAAAGATAGGATTTTCTGTCCCCTCCCAGCTGCTGCTTCTGAGCCCCTTTACTCTGCTGTCTTAGTTTAACATCTCATTTTACAAATGATGGCCATTAGTTCCGCTGAGCACCTTAGCCCTCCTCCCTGTTTGCTTTTTTAATTCCTTGTGAATGAGTAGCATGAAGGTGAACTTTGTTTTTGCCCCATGAGTAAAGGGCACGCTTCCAGGTCTGGTTTCCCTGGAGTCTGTCTGGAACCAGAGCCCCCGAGGCCTGGCCTAGAAGCAGAGAAGGGACCTCCTGTCCTCTCGCTGGGGCTTGGAGGCAGCCACTGCGAGTCAGGCCCCAGCTCCCCAGTACCATGGCCTGCAGAGGGCAGGGTTGCCGTGTGGATTAGAGCTCAGGACCTGTGAGCCACTTTGAGGTGGCCCCTCCTGCCTTCCAGGGCCCTCCTGCCCTGCATTCCTTCCCGTCTGCCTCTGTCTTTCTGCCTGAGTGGCGGGAGCCTGCGGCTTTATATGCACTGGGCAGTTGGTGACTCATTCCTCGGCAGCCCCTCAGATAGGGAAGTGAAACAGCCACATCTGGTGGGGCCTGACCTTTGGGTGACAGCGGAAGTGGCTATGCAAACATGGGGCTCCCTGCGGAGGAGGGAGAAGTCTCCACAGCCCGGCTGTGCAGAAAGCCCAGCCTGCCCCGTATGGCCTCCAGGCCGGTGGCTCTGGTAACAGTTTTCTTTCCGTCTCTCTCCCCGCCTCCATTTTTTTTTCTCTTGGTGACAGCTGGAAGTAGCAGTGGTCACAACCGAGAGAGCCAAACATTTCTACAGCCCCCAGGACATTCCTGTCACTCTCTACAGCGACGCTGATGAATGGGAGGTCAGTGCTGGGGGCCCCCAGGGCTTAGTTCCGTCGTGTTTCCACCCACAGGGCAGGAGTGTCCTCCCTGCAGCTCCTGGTCCTGGTGGCCAGAGCAGACAGGCCCGGCTCAAGTCCGTGGTCGGGCCCCTCTGGGCAGAGGCGATGAGGAAAACATCTGTCTAGCTTCTGGCCTGCAGGAGGCCCGGAGTCTCCTCCCAGCCCAGGCAGAGCTCGGCGTTGGCCCCGTGCCTGAGGTTGAGTGTCCTTGTACTTATCTGGGCTGATGAAACCACAGAGGAGCTCTGTTCCCACCACCCTTGTCCACGTGGCTCCCAGTGTCGGGCCTGTCGAGAGCGCCTCACTTCCCACGGCCGCTGGGCTCTGCCTCCGCTCTCCCGCGGAGGGGCGGGCACCGGCTGGTTCACCAGACTTCGAGTGTGGGCCTCACAGGGGTGCCCTGCCAGGCCTTTTTAAACATTCTCAGCCTCGAACATTTCTGGCTGGCCTGTCTTCTTCACCCCACCCCCTCCGTTCTCACCGCCGCAGAGCCCTTCCACTGGCTTGGACAGCCCAAGCATCCGCCTCTAGCAGACAGGCCAGGAGTTCCCTGCCAGATGTCAGTTCTCTTGAAAACCAAACCATAAAGGGAATAGCTTGGAGAGACAAGGGGCGTTTGTTTCCTCAGGCCTGGTTTCTCTCAGGCTGTTGGCTCCACAGCCGGTGCTCACCAGCTCCGCCAGGAGAGGGAACGGCGGTGGACTCAGGCAGGGGCGCTCAGGTGGTCATCCTCGGTTTCTGACGTCGTGTACCTGGCCTTCGTTACCCCCCTACCCCCCACCGCGTCCTCCTTCCATGCCGAGAGAGTAGCCAACTTAGTGACCCCATTTCCTTCCCTCTGCCAGATGTGGAAGTGCCGATCTGACCCAGTTCTCCACATTGACCTACGGAGGTGGGCAGACCTCATGCTGGTGGCTCCTCTGGATGCCAACACCCTGGGGAAGGTGGCCAGTGGCGTATGTGACAACCTGCTTGTGAGTGACTCTGCCTTCCTTCCTCCCCTCCCTGGGCCTCCACTCCCCATTTTCTGAGCTGCAGGATTGCCTTCATATGGGATTCTTGCCCTGGAATTCTTTCATGGTGGGCTGGTTTACCCCCTGGGCCCCCTGACCCCCCGCCGGGTCTCAGCGGTGTTCCAGCAAGTGGGCAGACGATGGATGCACCTTGTGTGCGCTCTGTGAGGGTGTCCACCTCTCACCTGCCCCTTGACACTTTGTCCGTCGTTCGCGGGCTGCCCTCCACGTGGTCTGCTGTTGGTCTCCCTGCCCAGTCCCACCATCTACCCTGCTTAGCTCTGCTTTCTCCCCGGGATCTGGGAATCAACGTGTGCAATCTGATAAGAGTGTTTACTTCCTCGTGGATCTCTTGTGCACACTTATCTCTCCAGTGGCATTGGCCACGAGGCAGAAATGCGGTTTTCCTGTATGTTCTGGGAAGCTCAGAGGGGAAGAGAGAAGCAAGGCTGAGCGGTGCCAGCCGATGGATGGTGGAGGAGAGGAACAGAAGTCCAGCTGCACAAAATGGAGACTGTCTTTGGTCTAAGGGACCTCCAGGGACCTGTTGTCCTAAGAGACCTTGTTTATGCGATCATCATGGGAGGAGCTAGGTGTGTGATCTCTCTCCCCTCTCCCTCTCCATTGGGACCCTGCTTCCCTCGCGCACTGAGTTTTTTCCTACCATGAGCCGGGCCCCATGCTGAGGGACCCACAGGACACATGGAGTTCCCGGTCTGGAAGGAAAGGGTTTTGGTTACCCATACAGGTGAGAAGGCAGTGTGCTCTGGTGTGTGGTACAGTCTTAAATGACCCCTGTTGGTCCTTTGACAGTGGACTCACCGCTTTGCTGGGCATATAGTAAATGCTCAGTGAATACTGTACATGCAAGGTAATTATTCTACTTTGGCAAAGAGCAAGGAGTTTTTCACAGTTTAATATGATGAAGGAGTGAATAATGAAGCTGGGTCTAAATTTTTGGTGGTCAGAAAGGAGGTTAGTCTCCCTATATGCTTGTTGATGGTGCGTAAGGTACTTCCCAAAGAACTTGCTAGTGACTGAAACATCATTTGAATAAGCACGTGGTGACTGGAAGAAGAGCAACACACAGATTGTAGGGCAAGGAGCAGGAGTAGGGAAGTAGAGAGAGGGGTAAGCCTAGGGGCAGTGCTATCAGGAAGGCTTCCCGGTGGGGCTGGTGCATGGCTGACTGTGCAGTTGGAGCAGGTGAGGCTCCTGGCCACTTTCATCTCAGTACGTCTGGGCCGTGTGTGACCTCTGGGCTTCCCACCAGCTGGCCAGCACCAGTCAATATGATGAAACACAGTGGCCTCTGGGAGCCATGCCCCGGGCTGGGCTGGCTCTCAGAGGGCTTCTTCTTCCCCTCCAGAGCTCTGCTTCCTTTTTTTTCATCATAGCTGCCCCTACTCCCTGAAATCTTGGGGGTTCCCTCCTCCTGAGTTGGCTGACCAGTGGAATATGTTCCCCCAGGATTTTTTTTTGCCTCTAAAGGTTTCTCTTGAAGGCACAAATATTTCAAGCAATTACACATCTCAAAGTTCAGACTGTCATTATCCTTGCTTTGTGGCACTGTCCTCACTCAGAAGGTGTTTTATCCTTTCATCCCTGAAAAGATGGCCCTGCTGCCCCCTTTCCTCAGATCTTGTCCCTTTTCCAGTGCCTAGAACTCATGGGGCCTTCAGAGCATGCTGTGTGTGACCTGTGCACAGACCTCTGGGCCCTTGGCCTGGGTGTGTGCATCTCCATCTGCCCTCTGACCCACCCGGGCCCTGGCCCCTTCTGTGTGCTGAAGAGCCCAGCAGCGGGGCACCTGGTCGGCTCAGTCATTAGAGCATACAACTCTTAATCTTGGGGTTGAGTTTAAGCCCCACATTGGGTGTAGAGATTACTTTAAAAAATTTTTTTTTAAATAGCTAAGCAGATCTAAAAAGAGGAGGTGACTTCCCTGGGTCACCAGTCAACTGGGAGCTGGTCTCCTGATCAGGATCTAGGCCTTCTCTCCACCAGGTGGGTTCTCAGGGACAGAGCCTGAGGTACTGAACACAGCATTGGCTGAACAGCATGACTGTAGGAACTGATGCCTCCTCTAGTCCCTCCTGCTGCCAGAAGGTTCAGAGGAGCTGTGGTTTGTCCAGGAAGCGCTGAGCTTCGAGATGAGGTGGAAAAGCTAGAGAGGCATGAGACATCCTGGTTTCTTTTCTGGTTTGGTGTGCTTTGCTCTGAAGACGCTCAGAAACCCCAGCCCAGCCCCCACCATACGCCACACTCGGTCAGGGGACTCTTCTAGGTATGTTTGTGGCTTTTGCAGAAGCAGCAGGTGGCACGGGGCCAAGAGGAAGTGTGACTGAAACTGTCCACTCAGCCCAGTTGCCAAATTGGGTGGACTTGGTGGGAAACAGATGCTGGTGTCTGGGACGATGCAGGCAGCCTGATCCTGAGGCTGTGTGCTGTCCCACTTCCTTCCTGTCCCTGGGAACGGGCAGGGGGCCCTGAGAGGGGTGGGCAGCAGCTCTGGCCTGGTCACGGCATCGTCTTCTGGACTCTGCCATCTTTTCCCAGATGGGCCGTGCTTCAGGGAAGGGGTGTGCTGACTGCTGTCTCCCCATGGGGCCCACAGATGGGCAGGAGGTGCTGGAGCACCAGGGCCCAGGGGAGCATCCTCCTGCGGGCCCCAGGGCTTATTTCTCCCCTGGACAGCGCCTGGTCCAGGGGGCCTGTGCCTGTATTAATCATAGGAGCTCCTGTTTCTGGAGTATATACATGAGGCCAGGCCCTGCGTGAAGAGCTTTAAGCATGTTCACCTCCTGTGCTCACAACCATCCAGTGAGCTTTTGCAGAGAGGAAGCTAAGAGTCGGGTTAAGTTACTCCCCCAGGTTCTCACAGCTAGCAATAATAGTACATAGCACGGCCAAGATTTGAACCCAGGTCGACAGGATTCCGCAAGTCACTGAACCAGCGGGTCCCTCTCACAGCTGCTGTGGATTTGGTGGGATGGCCTCGGTGGAGGACCACATGGGGTGGCGTGCAAAGCTTCATGCCCCGGATCATAGTTTCCATGGGGAATGCAACTCCCCCATCTGGGAAACAGGACAGCACCTTCTCTACGGGGTTGCGGTGAAGGTGCACCGGAGAATACGTATCAGAGGGTTTTTGTCACATGGCACGTGTTCTCATTGCCAAACTTTAGTCGGCCTCAAAGTTGAGCCTGTGTTGGGGTAGGTGGGCCCCACCTGATGAGTGGTCTGGGCCTTTGCTTTGGGGGTAACTGTGAAGCTTGACTTCTTCTCCCCTGGCTGTTTTCTGTCTGCGGAGTATGTCCCACAGTGGAGAAGCCTTGTGCTTCGGCTCAGAGAGATCCAGAGAGATCTCTGCATGGGAGTGGAGGTCCGCGTGGAGGTGGCTGGGCCATCGTGAGTGTTGGAGGACCTCCTGTGTGTCAGGCCCTGTGCCAGCACCTGCAGGGAGGGGACAAGGGGGAGGGGTAAGGAGATGCAAGGTAGGGGAATACCGAGAAATAGCACCCGATCATCCCAAGCCCACAGTTGGCTATGACCCAGAGGATGGTGGGTGGGATTTGGGAGTGCTTTGGGGGGGGGGGGCGGAGCAGCAGGCACCCACCTGCCCCACTCCAGCCCTTCTTCACAGACCTGTGTCATCCGCGCCTGGGACTGCCGAAAGCCCCTGCTCTTCTGCCCTGCGATGAACACGGCCATGTGGAAGCACCCCATCACTGCGCAGCAGGTGGGCCTGCTCAAGGCCTTCGGCTATGTGGAGATCCCTTGTGTGGCCAAGAAGTTGGTGTGTGGAGACGAAGGTGGGCATCTGGACCGGCTCACAGCCCAGGGTCGTAGAAGGGCTCAGCTCTGGGGTCATACTCCAGTGTGATGTGACCTTGGGCAAACCCATTCTCTGAGCTCTGCTTTCTCATCTGGGAAATGGAAGTCATAGTTCCTCTCAGAGTTGGTAGGATTGAACGAGGTAGTATATGTAAAGTGCCTGCATTGTCCCTGGCATGCAGCCCAGGTACAGTGCATGGTGCTCCCGTACCTATTACTGGGGCCTGCCCTGGGGGTGCCTTGGAAGGGATTTGATGGGTCTGGCTCACACAGAGAGGGTTCTGGCCTTCAAGGCCTTGGGCTTTGGGTGGAGCACTCAGAGGGGCATTGAGCAGGGTGGGTGGGGGATGGGCCCTGCCTCAGTCAGCGGGCCACAGCAGAACTTTGCTCCCTAGGTCTAGGGGCCATGGCTGAGGTGGGCACCATTGTGGACAAGGTGAAAGAAGTCCTCTTCTGGCATGGCGGCTCTCAGCAGAGCTGAACCTGGCATTTTTGTTGTGTGTCTCCCTCTGCACTCCGCGTGTTTTCAGGCCAAGTCTGTGAAGAAGGTGGACATTGGCAAAATATGGTGAAGACTTCTGGGTTTGCTGAGTAGGGGTGTAGCCTGGGCCCGTTCCAGAGCCTCCCCAGGGGCCTGGCTTGCTCAGGTTAAATTAGACCAAAGTTCCAGGTCCCAACTTCTTTCCAACCAAGAGATGGCTGCTCTCTGGGCCCCTCCCCACATTCTCCTGGGATGGCCACAGCAAGCCTGTATCTGCGTGGTGCTGTGTTCGGGGAGGGGGACTGAGGGCTGACTGAAAACCCCTGATTTTGCCTCGTGGGCGGAAGTCGCTTCAGCTCCTTGGTGGGCTGCCTGGCTGCCATGCAGTTGGGGAAGCCTATAAGCTGGCAAGATGCTCAGATTCTCCACAGACTGTGCTGTGAGATTGGGAGTCCTGGGGAATAAAGGAAGGTGACCTTTAGGAGACTGTGTCCTTCCTTTACTTGTGGTCTCAGAGATCAGGGGCATTGCTTGGTGTGGCTGAGGGAGGGGCTGGGCTGACGACTGGCTGATATCATATGGTGGTTAAGGGCAGAGGGCTCTGAAGCCAGACAGACCCTAGTTCAAATTCCAGCTCTACCATGTGCTAGCAGTGGACCTTGGCTCAGGGCTCAGCCTTTCTGACCCTCACTTTCCTCATCCATATTATCCTACCCTCATGAAATTGTTGAGAGGATTAAATGAGATAATGTGTGCAAGATACCTCCCCCCCCTTACATAATAAATGTCAATAAAGGGAAGTTAAAGCTAGATTTGCATTTAGACCAGTGAGTTTTTCTAACATTTACCGAAATAGACCCTCTTATTTTGGGAAAAATAAAATCCCCAACACTAAGCTGACATGGCCTTTATGCAAATGGCAGGCACACAGACTGCAGGGTCGGAACCCTGGGAATTCAGGCCCCTTGCTTCCTGATGTCCTTATCAGCTTTGCTGCCCCTAAGACTGGGACCTGGGTGTCTCTGCCTCCCCTCCAACCCCACCCAGTGGCCCCCGTGAATCCGGGATGTAGACTCCAAAGAGAAGCATGTTCTGCCCTAGGAAACCCCACCATCCTGCCTTTGATCTAATTGCTGTTTGGCGGCTGCAGTGGGGAGGGGCTTGTTTGCCCATTTGGAGCTGAGGTCAGGGGTGGCTTCCTGCCTTCCAGACCATGGGTGAGTGGGCTCTCCATACATGCCCTTGGACCACTGATGGTAGAGGCCCCTTTGAGGGCCACCAGTAAGCCTGCTGGCTGGGACCGAGACCTCCGGTAGCCTCCGAGAGCCTTTATCTCTACAGTGCTTGGCTTCATCAAGTGGCCCTTTGGGGTGAAATTGCCTTAGGGCAATAAAGAAACTATAACTAAAATGGTAGCATCACAAACCAACCTCTTTGACAGGCTTGAGGTATGGGGAGGACCGAGATAATTGACATCCAGAGGCAATCCCAAAGGTCCACTTAAATGGTTTCCAACTTCCCTCCTGACGTCCATGTTGCCCTTTGTTTTCCTCAGCAACGTGCTAATGTGTGGTGAGGCTCTCCAATATTACCAGGAACTGCTGCCATTTACCGAGTGCTTATTGTGTACAAGGCTTTGTGCTGGGCACTTTAGGGAAGACAGCTGCCCAGGAGACCTGTGACACAATGTCTGTTTTAATTTTTATTTTAAGTTTATTTTGAGAGCACACACATGGCGTGTGCGAGCAGGGGAGGAGCAGAGAGAGAATCCCAAGCCGGCTCCATGCCGTCAGTGCAGAGCCTGACACGGTGCTCCATCCCCGAAACCCTGAGATTGTACCTGAGCCAGTGAGTTTTTCTAACATTCAGCAGTTGGGCGTTCAACAGACTGAGCCACCCAGGTGCCCCCACAATGCCTGATTTTAAAGGCCACAGGAGCAGAGAGGTTGATAGGCCTGAACTTAATACTTCTGCAAAGAGCTGTGGCTCTTCAGAGCAGGACTGAGCCTTGGTGGCTGGAAGGAAAGGTTGGAGTTAAGAGGAGAGGGCAGTTAGTTCCCAGACTGCGCTGAGCAGGCCCCAGCTGCAGAGGACTGCGGAGGTGGGCATTGTGGCCACAGCTTTTCCCTGCCAAGAGTCAAAGCTCTTCAAGTCGTCAGCATTTAAGTTCGAGTGTTTCTCAGAGAAGGTGCTAGTTTCTCTGATCATGTTTATAGAGTTCTGGAAGTTTGACAGAATAGAATATTTGGGCCTAAAAGTCATAGCCTCATTTGGCAGCCTGGAACCTCTCTACACTCCTGTGGCTACTGCCGTGTGAGAGGTGGAAGTTTTCACCCCAGAGCCCAGCCTCTACACTGGAATGTTTCTATTCTGCAACCTTCGGATGCCTTCCCACTGCCTCAGGGTAAGGCCCTGACTCCTGGGCAGTACACTTGGCCCCCCATGATCTGGCCCCTGCCTACCTTTCTAGCTCCACCCCTATTACATGCCACCACGCAGGGCTCCCTGTCTTCTAGCCAGACTGGACTGTCTTGACCGAGCCCTGTAGCTTCTTGCCTTTGCACTTGCTGCCATACTGGAAGGCCATTCTTCACCCAGCTAACTCCTACCCATGCCTTTGATACACCTTGGTCACTTCAGGCTAGATTAAGTGGTCCTTGCCCGGGCCCTAGTATTGTCCACTGAAATTGGGATCTGGAGGGCGGGAGTAGCCCTGTTCCTCACAAAACCTGGCAAGTCATTCCAAGCTTCTTATACTAACAGAATTTTTTAAAAGGTGTGTGTGTTTGGGGGGGGTGGGCAACCTACTTGTTTCTGAGAAAGACATACAACCTAGGAGCCATAAAGGCAAAGCCTGATACATTTGCCTACAGAAAAATAAACAATTCCGCCTAGCAATAGCCCATAGACCAGGTCAAAAGACAAATGTAAATGAGAAATTATCTGCAGGTCACATAACAAAGGACTAATTCCCCTAATGCACAAAAAACCATACATTGATTAGAAAAAGACCAAGAATGGGGCGCCGAGGCAGCTCAGTTGGTTAAGCATCTGACTCCTGACTTCGGCTCAGGTTGTTTTTTCTCACGGTTTGTGGGATTGAGCCCCGTGTAGGGCTCTGTGCTGATAGTGCGGAGTCTGCTTGGGATTCTCTCTCTCTCTCAATAAGTAAATAAGTAAATAAGAGACCAAGAATACAAAGGGAAAGTGAGCAGAGGATAAAAAATAGTACGTGTGTGCACGACACATGGCTCTTAAACATTAAAAGCTACTCAAACAGGGGCACCTGGGTGGCTCAGTCAGTTGAAGGTCAGACTCTTTCACTCAGGTCGTGATCTCATGGTTTGTGAGTTCAAACCCCACATCAAGCTCTGTGCTGGCAGCTCAGAGCCTGGAGCCTGCTTCAGATTCTGTGTCTCCCTCTCTCTGCCCTTCCCCTGCTCACTCTCTCTGTCTCTTTCTTTCTCAAAAATAAATATTAAAAAAAGAAAAGAAACTGGACCACATGCATGAGGAGAGCGGTGCAAACCAAATGGGGACTGTGCTGCAAGGGAGGTTTTGTCTACTAGATCAGTGAGGGCGAGGGCACTGGCACCCTAGTGGGAGTGCAGACTTGATACAACCTTGTTGGAGAACAATCTGGAAACATCTATCAAAATTACATATGTATTTACCCTTTGACCCAGCAATTCTACCTCCAGGGATTTGTCCCACAGATACACTCATGTATATGACATTATGTCTGAATGAGGCTATTCACTACCGCATTGTACGTGGCTGTAAAAGGCTGGGAACACCCTCACTATCTGAGCAACTGGAGCTTTGGTTCCCTAAATTAGCACTGTCCCTACACTGGACACTACGTAGCTACAAGATAAGTGTGAGGAAGCTCTCTAGGTGCCGATAGGGGATGCTGCCTGAGATACATTGCTAAGCAGAGAATGTGAGATGCAGAACAATGTCCTTGCATGCTAGCTTGTGTATAAAAAAAAAGGGCCCCTCTCCCCCAGAGGAAGAAAGGATGCCTATTGGCTTGTAGAGGCATCAAACACCTATTGAAAATAAACAGGAAGCCAGGCCATTGTTTGCCTCTTGGCCACAGAGCTAGGTGGTTCAGAACTGTGAGAGGCTGACTTCTGTTTAAGTTGCGAGGCCGATGAGTGTATTCTTTACCATGACAGTGGTAAACACACACATTTTAAAAAGGGTTCCTTCTGTCCGTTAGCCAGAAGTTCCTAAAAATGACTTGGCAGGGAGCTAATGTGAAAGACTTGGCAGGGGCGCCTGGAGATTTCCATCAAGGCCTTTGGAGTAGAAACGGATCTGTTTTCCTTGTCATGAGATAATAGAGGACAAATTTTAATACCACTGGGTGCTACTTACAAGGCTTTGAGGCCCCTGATCTCAAGGAGCTTATGGGAAGGAGATCTAAGGCTAATTTAGAACAATCAAATGACAGAATCAAACATGACACTGTGGTACAAAGTGTGTTCAGAACAGAGAAGAAGTCGGGGAGGGAGGGGCCCCTGTAGAGGGCGGGGAGCTCAGGCCCATGTGGACTGGAGGACCAGAGAAGTTAAAAGTGGGTGTGAAGCTGGGGCGCCTGCGTGGCTCAGTCGGTTAAGTGTCCAACTTGAGCTCAGGTCATGATCTCATGGTTGGTGGGTTCACGCCCCACATTAGGCTCTCTGCTGTCAGTGCAGAGCCTGCTTCTGATCCTCTGTCTTTCTTTCTCTCTGCCCCCTCCAATAAACATTAAAAAAAAAAAAAGTGGATGTGAAGGGTGGTGCTTCATGTGGGGCACGTGGGTAGGCACTGGGGCTCCGTGTGCAGTGGGGTGTTGGGGGCTTCATCAGGGGAGTGGGGCCAAGGTGGAGTGAGGCAAGGATCAGCCGTGTGGTTCATGGGACAGAGTGGAGGATTTAGACCCTCCACTACTTTAGATTTTAGACTCCTCCAGGGAGGAGGCCGGATGCGAAGCTGGGGAAACGAGGCTGTGCTGAAGGCCTTAGTGAGACGTGGTTCTGGAAAGGAAAGGGGGCGCAAAAGCGAGTGCCAACGTGAAGAAAAGTCCGCATGATTTGAAAGTGTAAGTCTTACCACTGTCCTCGTGGCTGGAGGCTGCGGGGGTTACTTAATGGCAGTTTTGTGTGCGTGTTACTGCAAGATTTATGAACAGTCCCCAGTGCCACTCACTAAAAAATTTTTTGCTTTGTCCACCACTGTTTTTTTCCCCTCGGGATTGTTTAGTCTGCCCTCCAGGTTCCTGGGCATTTTGTGGTATAAAACTACAAAGAACAGACTGAGCTAGAGAACTGGCGAGATGGGAAGAAAGGGAAAGGGAGGGAGTCTTACTTTTGGGGTTGTGTCTCCTTTGTGTGGTACATTCCGGTACTGGGTTAATGAGAGAAATTAAAGCCAGGAGCAGAGACTTGATCAACTCCACAATAATGAGCTGAGAGAGACTCTAGCGAAAGGCTATGCAGGTTGGCCGCGAGTTGGGAAACACTTTGGGTGTTAGCTTAATCGTCTTTGAGCTGCTAAGGGGCACAAGAAGCTGGAGGTGGGGAAAAAAGAGATTTTTGAGGGATGTTGCTGAGTGATGAGGTTTCTGGGGGTGACAGTGGGGTTCGTGGGGTCCGGAGCCGATGACCAAGAAAGAAATCTTGAAGAGAAAGGTGATTTTATTAAAGCACGGAGACTGGAAGAACTGCCCCGGGGCCATGAGGAGAGACTGGTTTTATACTATGGGGTTGGGGGAGGTAAAGTCCAGAGGAAGTTTCCAGTGAGATTTCCGAGTGCTAAAGAAGACTCCCAGGATCCTGGAGGCCTAGCTACTGTCAAGCTAAGGTGGTTTTCCCTCTAGCAAAGCTAATGCTTTAGGACAGTAGGGAGTTCTTGGAGAAACGTTCCCTCTGCCTGCCTCAAGTAATTGTCAGTGGGCTGCAGGTTACCAGGAAATGTAGTTCTGTCTGCCATCGCCTTCTGCCTTCGTTTCCCATATCACTGTGGAGGGGTGATGTTGGGGCTCCAGGAAACGGAGTCTATAGGTTTCTAGAAATTAGGCTATTGATAAGATTGCCTTTTTCTTATAATTTACTAAGATATTTGTAAATAGATGGAGACTCAAGTCCTGCAGGACTATGATCTCTATCAGCTAACCTTTTGTTTTCCGCCTTTCCTTTGTTCTTGGGCAGCCAGGAGTGCCCCGGGGCGGGGGTGGGGTGTTTGCTGCCTGTCAGCTTGCCTACGCTCCCTCATCTCTGAGGATTGTTAACAGGACACACCTAAAGGTTCTTCAAGAGACCCAGGTAAGGATCGTGGTTCACTTTTTTTTAATGTTTATTTTTGAGAGAGAATGTGAGTGGGAGAGGGACAGTGAGGGGGACCAAGGATCCAAAGCAGACTCTGCGCTGACAGCACTGAGCCCAATGCTGGGCTCGAGCCCATGAACCCGGAGATCATGACCCGAACTGAAGTCGGACGCTTAGCTGACTGAGCCAGCCAGGTGCCCCAGGATTGGCGTTCTGTTTAAATTCTTCCGCCAGTGGCTCCTGGGTGGCTCAGTCGGTTAAGCGTCTGACTTCGGCTCAGGCCATGATCTCATGGTTTGTGGGTTCGAGCCCCGCGTCGGGCTCTGTGCTGACAGCTAGCTCAGAGCCTGGAGCCTGATTCAGATTCTGTATCTCTCTCTCTCTCTGACCCTCCCCTGCTCATGCTCTCCCTCTCTCTCTCTCTCTCTCTCTCAGAAATAAATAAAACATTGGGGCGCCTGGGTGGCTTAGTCGGTTAGGCGTCCGACTTTCGCTTAGGTCATGATCTCGCGGTTCGTGGGTTCGAGCCCCGCGTCGGGCTCTGTGCTGACTGCCAGCTTAGAGCCTGGGGCCTGTTTCAGTCTGTGACTCCCTCTCTCTCTGACCCTCCCCTGCTCACGCTGTCTCTCTCTCTCTCTCCTAGAAATAAATAAAACATTAAAAAAAATTATTAAAAAAAAGAAATAAATAAAACATTAAAAAATTAAAAAAAAATTCCTCCACCAGTGTTTGCTCCTCTGAGTGTGACTCTGTGTGGGACTGAGCTAGCTGGAGCCCTGGATTATATTCAGGTTGTGTGCGTGTGTTGTGTGTTCCTGGATCTCATTTCACCCTCCCAACACAACAGCTTTGTGATGGAGTCAACTAGTAGATTTAATTCCATCTTACAGATGGGCAAGTAAGGGTCCCCCACCCAGTTTCTCTTTCTGTCCTATAGGTGCCTCCTCTCTGCCTGTGGCCTCAGAACCTGAGCTCCACCTGCATTAGCATTTGCGTCGCTGGGGCCCTTTGAAACACTCCAGCCACCACACACCACTACTACCACCAGATGCCTGTTTTCCTTAGCCCCAAGTCAGTAGCTGCCTCGTTAGCTTTTTCCTCCCATGGCTTCCTTCATACATGCATTGTGGTTTCTAGAGCAGCACAGAAATCTGAAATGTCATGCAAATGCCTCTGAACAAAGAGCCCTGGAATCAGATCCTGGTGACTGACAGGTTGTTTATACCAAGAGCTTCCTGGTGGAACCGAATATTCTAGAGTGTTCAGGGCAGGTTTGGTACTACCTGGGGCAAGGCAAGGATCAGGCCAGAGGAACTGTCAGTTGTCCAACAGCAAAGGTCAGGACAAGAGGGCAAGAGGCAAGGGAGACTTGGGCTTTGGGGCCTTTGGAGGACTTGCTGCGAATCCAGCTATTATCTGAGAACGGGCCATTCTCTTGCTGAGACGGGCTGGTCCCATGGTGGCTTTATCTGCTGAAATTACATGGTTACCCTTTGCCTGTTGGCCCAGATAGCAGGTCCCTGGGGATTGGAGGCCCAACGAATTCCCTGTTGGGCCTCTGGATTCCTGGAAGAGCAGAGAGAGTTCAAAGGTGCCTTCACTCCATGTGGGCCAGGTGGGTGAGGGCTGAGGGTTTCCAGCTGTAGCGGCGGGCGTGGGCAGAAACACAAGGGTGCAAGCGGGAAGGGGAGGCTGGGAGGCCCCGTGGAGCCTGGGGGCGGGGGTGAAGATCACTTCTGGCTCTAGAGCACAGCTTGGGAGCTCCTATGTCACTTTGATGGGGTTTTGGTGGGGTCTGGAGCCAAGAGCCAAGAAAGAATTCTTGAGAGCCTTCTTGGGTGCAAAAAAGGTGATTTTATGAAAGCACGGGACAGGACCCATTGGCAGAAAGAGCTGCACTGAGGTTGTGACGAGTGACTGGTTATATACTATGGAGCTGGGGGAGGTAGAGTCAAGAGGAAGTTTCTTAAAGGGATTTACATATGCTAAAAATGACTCACAGATTCCTGGAGGAATCTCTATTGTTTTCCCCTCTAGTAAAGCGCTAACATTAAGACAGTAGGGTGTTCCTGGAGATTAGGCTATTGATAAGATTGCCCTTTTCTTCTAATATTACTAAGATATTTATTTGTAAACTGATGGAGACTCTTATCAATTTAACCATTTGTTTTCTGTCCTTTCCGTTGTTCTTGAGCAGCCAGGAGTGACTGAGGAATGTCATACATCTCCTCCCACCTGCAGGGAGGGTGTGTGTGTGTGTCAGCTTCCCTATGCTCCCTCACCAATGTGGGACTTTTAACAATCACTCTCTCTCTCTTTTTTAATGTTTTGTTTCTGAGAGAACACAAGAGGGAGAGGAGCAGAGAGAGAGGGGGACAGAGGATCTGAAGTGGGCTCTTTGCTGATAGCAGAGAGCCCGATGTGGGGCTCAAACTTAGAACTGTGAGATCACGACCTGAGCTGAAGTTGGATGCTCAACCGACTGAGCCCCCCAGGTGCCCCCTAACAGTCAGTGTCTTGATTGGAGCCCTGGAGCTCCACTCTTGTGGGGAAATCGGCATGATGGGAACCAGGGAGAGAGGCCATGGAAGGGAAATCTTGCTTATCTCATTTAATTCTAACCATTCTTCAAGGTAGGCATTGCTATCCCGTTAAAATAAAGAAGCTGAGGCTCAGAGAGATGGTGTAAAAGTTGTCCTGACTACAGACCAAGAGATGGCCTCTTAGAGGAGAGAGTAGAGGTGGGTGGTGCTGCTCACATGGGCAGAGGCTGAACTTGAAATAGAAAGACATGCAGGTAGGCTGAAGATGTCTTTTGTCATCCAAAGCGAGCACTTCTGAGAGTAAAAAGGGGCAACACACACAATAGGACAACAGGCATCGACTGGGACTGACCTGAATAAACCGGGCTGCGTGGTCACCTACACATAGGGCACCGGAGGGAAGTGACAGACACCGTTTATAATGTAATCCTCATGGCAGTCCCTAATGTGGATATTACCCCCATTTGGCAGATGAGCAAACTGAGGCTTAACTTCCTACAGCTTTGAAGTGGGGAAGCGCTGGCCGGCTTGAAGCCCTTGCCGCCTCCCAGGCTCAGAGCCTTTGGAGGATGACCAGAGGAAGAGGCCAACTGGAGAAACAGCTGGAAAGCTTGGGTCTTGGAGTGTGACTGTGTGGCGGGCTGTCCCTGCAGTCTCCGTGTGGCCTCCTCCAGGACTGGCTGCAAGCAGCGGCTGGGGAAGGTGAGTGAGTGTGTGGTAGGGGGCTGGGACAGTGTGGAGGCCCCAAAGGCTTCTGCAGCCTTTCCTGATCTGCCTGGACCTCCAGGGGTGCAGTGGCCAAGGCATGGAATTTCTGGGGGAAAAGAGTCTTCACTGAGTTGCCCCATTCCTATGATTGGTGAACAGGAACACTGAGAAATCTCGTGGCATACTTCCTGGTGAGGACTGTCCCCTCTGGTCTAAAGATCCTGCCATGGCTCTGGTTCAGTCCTTCAGGGGCTCCTGGAGAGACTGGTAGTCTGGGATGCCGGAATACTCTAGGTTATGGGCAGAGAGTGAGTAAGACCACGCATGCCTGGAGGGGTTGTGGGCCTCCCGGTTCCTCCTACATTCACCGGTCGGTCTAGCCTCCCGGGAGTGGGTCAGTGGCAGACGGGGAGGGCCCAGCCCAAAGGTCAGATGGCTTTTGCAGGCCCGTCGACATACTGTGTCCCAGGTGGATGGTCAGGGTTGGCCGCCGGGCATCCAGCAGGGCAGACCACACTCCCCCAGGTGTACCCACGTCCTGGTGGGTTGCAGGTTGTCAGGACTGTCAAGGGAGGAAAGTCCTGTCCCTTAGGGATGACCCTACTGTCAGGGGCATCTCACACAAGTACAGTGGCCTGAGGTCTCTGTAAGCCAATGTTGTGTAATCAGGGCTGATCATGTTTCTTCATTCCTTCATTCATTTTATTTATTTATTTTAATGTTTTATTTATTTCTGAGAGAGAGAGAGAGACAGCGTGAGCAGGGGAGGGTCAGAGAGAGAGGGAGACACAGAATCCGAAGCAGCCTCCAGACTCTGAGCTAGCTGTCAGCACAGAGCCCGATGCGAGGCTTGAACCCACGAACTGTGAGATCATGACCTGAGCCAAAGTCGGACGCCTAACAGACTGAGCCACCCAGGCGCCCCTCCTTCATTCACTTAAAAAAGAATGAATAGACTTTACTTTTTAGAGCAGCTTGAGATTCGCGGCAAAATTGAGTGGAAAGTCTAGTGAGTCCCTATATACCCCAACCCCAGCACACGCACGGCCTCCTTGTAGTCATTCATTTTTCGAACTCTGTGTCCAGACACTGTCCTGGAGCAAGTCCCAGCCTTGTTCTTAGGGCACTTCCTTTTTAGTGAAAAAGACAGAAGAGCAGATAGACCAGCCCAGGGAGGGGGTAAGGGGCGAGGTAAGCAACCCTAGGGTACCAAGGGAGCTCAGCAGGACAACCCACCGGGCCTGCAGATGTTTCAGAGGAATGAGGAGCTCTGTAAGGAGGCTGCCTGGGGTGAACTCTAAAAGAGGGGTAGGCGTTAACAAAGATGACAGGGAGAGCAGGAGTTGGGTGCAAAGGGGAGTGTGTGCAAAGGCCTGGGGCTAGCTGGCACATCTGATCCAGGTTCTGGGTCTGGCTTTGAGTTTGGATGTGGTAGGTGGAGGCAGGAGTAATCCCATCCTGCAGAGCCTAAAACTAAGGGGTTTAGTGTGAAAAGGAGGGGCTCAGATGGGCCAGAGCAGGCAGGAGAGCTTACTGGTGTGGGCTAGGCCAGCAACGCCCTTAAAAGAGCCTGGGGAGGGGTGCCTGGGTGGCTTAGTCGGTTAAGTGTCCGACTTTCGCTTAGGTCATGATCTTGCGGTTCATGGGTTCGAGCCCCGCGTCGGGCTCTGTGCTGACTGCCAGCTCAGAGCCTGGAGCCTGTTTCAGTCTGTGACTCCCTCTCTCTCTGACCCTCCCCTGCTCACGCTGTCTCTCTCTCCTAGAAATAAATAAAACATTAAAAAAAAAAAAAAAAGAGCCTGGGGAAACTCAGATACTGGATTGGGCAGTTTGTGGCTTTAAATGTGTTCTGAAGATGCTTCAGAGGTTTTCACTGATGCCTCAAATGCAAGCCCCTTGAGGACAGGGTCGTTTTTCTGATGGCCAGGGGCTGATGCCCCCTTCCCTTCTGCCCAGAAATAGCCCTGACCACTCAGTCTTATTCTCACAGAGAAGCAGATAAGACCCACCTGGCACGAGTCTGTGGCTAGAAGGGCTTCTTAGATCATGGAAGGTTTTCTCCATTTATTTATCCCTCGTGGTTATTGTAGGAAAGGGGCAGGAGGAAAAGGAAAACCCTTTTCTTCTTATTTATTTTGGGGGGGAGGGGCAGAGAGTGAGGGAGAGAGAGAATCCCCAGCGGGTTCCGAGCTGTCAGCACAGAGCCTCATGTAGAGCTTGGTTCATGAGATCATACCAGAGCCAAAATCAAGAGTCCAGTGGTCAACTGACTGAGCCACCCAGTCATCCCAAAGGAAAATGCCTTTCTTTCTTTTTTTACTTTTTACAGTGTATTTATTTATTTTGAGAGAGAGCCAGTGTGAGTGGTGGAGGGGCAGAGAGAATCAGAAGCATGCCCTCCCGCCCCACCCCACCATGTGGGACTCCATCTCATGAACCGGGATATGATGACCTGAGCGGAAATCAAGAGTTCGTTGCTTCAGCGACTCAGTCACTCAGGTGCCCCAGGAATACGCCTTTCTAATAGCGTGAGCCAACAAACCACCAAGAGGGCAAGGACTTGGACCCCTCTCCCTAGCAAGCCCGAGGCACAGCCACAGTCTCCTGGGCCCCAGAGCCTCCTGTGAGGGGCATCACCAGGCCTGGAGGAGGTGAGGGTGCCCCATGCAGCCAGGCCGCAGAGCCTCTGCTTGCTTGGTCAGAAAATGGAGACAGTCAAGTGTGCCCTTTCCCTGTGATTCTGATAGAGGGACTAGGATGAAGGGGCTCTGAGGCCCTCTGAGAGTGAAGATAGTCCCAAACTATTTAGGGACTTAGAGAATCCCCAGAGCAAGTCTCCTATGAGGGACAGCCTCTTCCCCACCCCGCCTGCTTTGGGGGCAGCACAGGTGATGAGGACATACCTGTTGGGGGTCCTAGGATGGGAACAGGCCCTTCTCACGACCCGGAAAGGAGACTCATTATGTTCTGAGCGCTGCGTGTCAGATCCTTTGTGTACATGACTGTATTTCACCTGTCGTCCTGTGGGGTACATACTGTTATCACTCCCGTTTTCCTGGTGAGTGAACCGAAGCTTGGAGAGGTGAAGTGACATCATCTGCTAAGTGGCAGCGCTGGAATACAGGTAGCCCAGGTGGGCCTGTGTCTAAAGCCCACATTCCACATTGCATCCTCTGCTCTGTGTTGGCGGGATGGAGTGGTGTGCCACATCATTCGTTCACTTATTCATTCATTCCCTTGATCCCTGTTTTTCCTGCATATACCTCATGCCCGGCACCGTGTTCGGTGTTGGGGGTAGAGTGAGGAGCAGAAGCAGGTAGGCACCCTGCGCTTGGGGGCTAGCTACCTAATGGGAGAGACAGACCTTTATCAGATAAGGAAGAGGAAACACTCTGATAAGCACCAGGAAGTACTGAATGCCACTCTCAGCGGTAACCATGGGGCCTAAGTTAGTGAGGACAAGAGAGGGGCTTCGGGGAAGATTTATGGAGGAAAGGAGCAGAGGCAATGTGAGTGACCAGGAGCTCGTTGGGGAAGATAAGCCAGAACATTCCAGGCCAAGGCTATGACATGTGCAAAGGTAGGAAGGAGAGGGCTAGCTGGGGGAACTGAAAGATGGGTCTTGAATAGGGCAGAGGGTAGTGGGTGAAGGTGGATAGGATGGGCAGAGGCCCAATGGGGCAGGGTTTGGAGGGGCCACAGCAAGTAGCTGTGGGAAACCAAGACAGGTGCCTGTGAAATGAAAGCTTCCTCTCTTTGCCATGAGGTAAATGAGAGAACACACAACAATGCATGTATCTTCCCCAGAAGTTTGGGCTGCATTAACAGTGGCACAGCGTACAGATCAAAGGAGGTGATTGTTTCTCCTTCTGGCCCAGACTGCACCTGAAGGATTGTGATCCTTTCAGAACCTTCACTACCCACTATCTGCAGAAGAGCCAGTAAACTGGTGCACGAGAATGCTGGATGAGCAGAGAAGAGCAGCCCCCAGGGGACAGGAGTGTGTACTAGACCTCCAAAGACTCTACTGGAGACAAAGTTCCACCCCAGAGAGAGAAAAACATCCTGGCACTTAGGGTTTATGAAGAATGGAGGGAGCTACTGTGAGGTGCTGAGCCTTCTGCTCTGGGGGATCAGAGATGTGGGGAGGGACCCTGCTTAGCCTAATGGGCGGTCTAGATTCGGCCCTCAGCACTGATGCAGCGCATCCTGTCTGCCCTCTCCCTTCCACCTCTGAGTTGGAGACCTACCACACACGTCCCCAGAATACCGGGCCAAGATGGTGGTGGGCTGACCTTGGCTAGCCTAGGGTGGGCTCCAGTTTGTTCTGTTTCGATTGCTTTCAGGAAACCAGACATTGGGGAGGGGGAGGTCTCAGGGCTGTGGGCCGGCTGCTGCTGGTCATCATTTGAAATCACTTCAGGATCCTGCCCTGGACATTCCAGCTGTCCGTCGTACGGTCCCCATTCAGTCAGGATCTAAAGGTAGTAGCCCACAAATCCCTCCCTCACTTCCCCATCAGCTGTGCGTGTGCTGAGACTTCCCAGAACTCCTGTTTCCCTAAAGAAATGGCTGCTGTGGTTTTTGTACCCCAGAACTGTCACTCTGGATCCTCTCTGTCTCTGCCATTCTGTTAGTCCCCAGGCCTGTGTCGTCTTTCTTGACAACAGCTCCATCCTGTGCTCGTAGCTCCTTCCCACTGCCACCACAGCCTCTAGACCTGTTCTTCCCCATGACACTGCCACCTGCCATCCCTACTTGTCTACTCTCTGCTGAGTTCTGGGGTTGGGGCCAGTTACAGTTTTTTTGTAACTGAAGCATATGTATCTTAACTGTACAGCTTGATAATTTCTGCATGTGCATACACCTGTGTGACTACCACCCAGAGCAGGCTCGAGAACATCTCCAGGTCCAGTCTTTTTTTTTTTTTTTTTTTAATTTTTAAATGTTTATTTTTGAGAGTGAGAGAGCATGGAGGAACGGCTGGGGGTGGT